TGGTCTGTTATGGATAAAGTTGTGATGAACATTTGTGTAAAAGTTTTTGTGTGGGCTGGGGGCGGTGGCCTCACGCCTGTAATCCTAGCACTCTGGGAGGCTGAGGTGGGTGGATCGTTTGAGCTCAGGAGTTTGAGACCGGCCTGAGCAAGAGCCAGACTCCGTCTCTACTAAAATTAGAAAAAAATAGCCAATTAAAAATAAAAACAAAAATTAGCTGGGCATGGTGGCTCATGCCTGTAGTCCCAGCTACTTGGGAGGCTGAGGCAGGAGGATTGCTTGAGCCTAGGAGTTTGAGGCTGCTGTGAGCTATCATGGCATTCTAGCCTGGGCAACAGAGCAAGACGCTGTCTCAAAAAGAAAAAGAACTTCCAGTTCTATGTTGAATAGCAGTGATGAAAGTGAGCATCCTGGTCCTGTTCCTAATCTAAGAGTGAAAGCTTTTCAGTCTTTCAGAGGATATCTGTGGGTTTTCATAAATGCCCTTTATCATGTTGAGGAAGTCCCCTTCTATTCCTAGCTTATTCAGACTTTTTTTTTTTTTTTTTTTATCATGAAAGGATGCTAAGTGCTTTCTCTGCATCTGTTGAGATAATCACGTTATCCCCCCCCTTTTTTGTTCTTTTAATGTATTACATTGATTTTCATGTGCTGAACCACTCTTGCATCCCTGGGGGCAGTGTCCGTTTTTAAAATTCTAGTCATTTCAGTGGGTGTGTACTGGTATTGCATTGTTTTAATGTGCATTATTTTTATGACTAATATTAAGCATTTTTTCACATGCTCATTAACCATTTGTATATTTTCTTTCACAAAGGGTGTTCAAAGTTTTAAAATTGGGTTGTCATGATATTGAGTTGTGTGAGATGTGAGATGTCTATATATTCTGGATACAAGGTTTTGCTGCATAAATATATTATGAATATTTTTTCCCAATTGGCTTGCCTTTTTATTTTCCTTACCAAGTTGTTTAAAAAGCACAAGTTTTTAAAGTCCAGTTTATTGATTTTTTTTCTCTTATGGTTTCTTTTGTGTGTTTTTTTTTTTTTTTTTTTTTTTTGAGACAGAGTCTCACTTTGTTGCCCAGGCTAGAGTGAGTGCCATGGCGTCAGCCTAGCTCACAGCAACCTCAAACTCCTGGGCTCAAATGATCCTCCTGCCTCTGCCTCCCAAGTAGCTGAGACTACAGGCATGCGCCACCATGCCCAGCTAATTTTTTTTTGTATATATATTTTTAGTTGGTCAATTAATTTCTTTCTATTTTTTAGTAGAGACGGGGTCTCAGGGTGGTTTCGAACTCCTGACCTCAAGCAATCCGCCCGCCTCAGCCTCCCAGAGTGCTAGGATTACAGGCGTGAGCCACCATGCCCGGCTTCTTTTGTGTTTTAAGAAACCTTTGGTTATACAAAGATTACAAAGATTTTCTCCTATGTTTACTTCTAGTTGTTTCATAGCTTTAGTTTTACACTTAGATTCATTTATTTTAATTTTTGTGTTATATGAAGTCTATCCTCATTTTTCTCAATTGGATATTCAGTTGTCTCAGCATTATTTGTTGAAAAGACTTCCTTTTCCCCTACTGAATTACCTTGTTACCTTTGTAGATTATTTGAACATATACATGTAGGTCTATTTCTGAACTATCGTTTCACTATGCCACAGTTAGACTCTTTGTATGATAGCAGTAAGCCTTAAAATGAGGAAGCATAAATCCTTCAGTTTTGTACTAACAATTTCATTGGCTATCTTCTACGTCACTTGCATCTCCATACAAATTTTAAAATTAACATGTTAATTTCTTTTTCCTTTTTTTTTTTTTTTTTTTCAGATGGGGTTCTTGCTATGTTGCCTAGGCTGGTCTTAAACTCCTGGGCTCAAGTGATCCTCCTGCTTCAGCCTCCCAAGTAGCTGGGATTAAAGAACCTGTTCATGTCTTTAAAATTGCTGGAGTTTTGATTGCAATTGCAGATCAATGGATCAATTTGGGGAGAAACGACATCTTAACAATATCAAGTCTTCCAATCTGTGAACAGAATGTATCTCTCCATTTATTTCAATCTTTTCTTTCAGCAATGCTTTACAGATTTCAGTATATAAGTTTTGCATATAATTTGTTAAATTTGTAAGTATTTCATGTTTTGATAGTGTGAAATAAATTTTTATTCATGTATTCATCAATTTTAAATTTCATTTTCCAATTGTCCACTGCTAGTACATAGAAATACTATTTTTTGTATATTGACCTTGTATCCTGTGATCTTGCTAAATTCACTTACGCTAGCAGCATTTTGTAGATTCCTTAGGATTATCTTTATAAACAATCATGTTATTTGCAAAAAGTTTTCTTTCTTCCTTTATAATTGGGAAGTCTGTTATTTCTTTTTCTTTTTAATTTGAATAAAAGTGTCCTTACCTTGTTCCTATCTTAGGAAGAAAAACATTTGGTCTTTCTCCATTAATATTTTTTGGACACAGGCTCTCTCTCTGTTGCCCAGGCTAACAGTGCTGTGGCATAATGATAGCTCACTGCAACCTCAAACTCCTGGGCTCAAGTGATCCTCCTGCCTCAGCCTCCCGAGTAGCTGGGACTACAGGCGTGTGCCACCACACCTCACTGTTTTTAAAAAAATTTTTGTGAGACAGGATCTCACTATTGCCCAGGCTGGTCTTAAAATTCTGGGCTTAAGCAATCCTCCCACCATGGCCTCCCAAGTACTAGGATTACAAATGTGAGCCACTATGCCTGGCCTCTCCATTGAGTATTATTAATAATATTAGCTGTGATTTTTTTCATAAATGTCCTTTATCAAGTTGAGGAAGTTCACATCTAGTTTGCTGAGTTTTTATCGTGAATGGTGTATAAATTTAATGTACTTATTGATATGATCATATGTGTTTTCCTTTTTAGTCTGTTGAAATGGTGAATTACATTGAGTGATTTTTGACTATTAAATCAACATTGTATTCCTGGGATAAATTTCATTTGGTCATGACAGTTTATTACCCTTTTTATATATTTTTAGATTTAAGCTACCATTTTGTTAAGCATTTTTGTGTCTAAGTTCATGAGTGCTATTGGTCTTAGTTTTTTTCCTTACTGTCTTTGTCTGGTTTTGGTATCAGAGTGGTTTCATAAAGTGAATTGGGAAGTACTCTTTCCCTCTTTTTTCTTATTCGTTTGAGACAGGGTCTCACTCTGTCATTCAGGCCAGAGTGCAGTGGCACCATCATAGCTCACCATAACCTCAAATTCCTGAGTTCAAGTGATCCTCCTGCCTCAGCCTTCTGAGTAGCTGGGACTACAGGCATGTGCCATGATGCCCAGGTAATTAAAAAAAATTTTTTTTTCTTAAGAAATGGGGTCTCACTATGTTGCTTAGGCTGGTCTCAAACTCCTGGGTTCAGGGCAATCCTCCCACCTTTGTGTTCCAAAGCACTGAGATTACAGCTGTGAGCCATTGTGCCCGGCCCCTGTCCCTCTTTCTAAAAGAGTATTCACAGGATGGGCACTTTGTTAAATGGTTGATAGAATTTACTGGTGAAGCCATCTGGGACTGGAGCTTTCTTTGTGAGAAGGTTTTTAATTCAGGGTAATTCAGACTTTAAATTTTGAAGAAGGCTCTTGCATAGAAGCTTTCCACTGCTAGAAAGACCTGCCAGCGATTAATGTCATAAGTATTAACTAGAAGTGAAGAGTAATAATTATTAGATAATAATTATTAGAACTTTGGCTGTGAGGAAAGATTCCCATCCAGTTCTTCTGCAGGTGGCTTAGACAGAATTTTACTTTTATTTCTAATAGTGTATGGCACATGCTAGGAAAGAATAAACCCAAGTTTCCACCCCCATGAGCAGCATGTTTCCTGATTTCTTCATTTTTATTCCCTCTTCACAAATCCATTTCTTTCACCAGATAGTAATTCTTTAAGCTGGTACCATTTCTTGTTTCTGGAGCCCAGCACCCAGCTCAGTGCTAGGCACACTGTAGGCATTCAAATGTTTGTCAAGGCAAACACAGGGATAAACTGTTGCTCATGGTTCTGCACCAATCTCAGGGTAATAGACAAAAAGTTGAGTTTAGGAGTTACTCTTCTTCTATCAGGGAGAAAAGATGCCCATATGTTACCACGCCTCATCTCTCATTAGCTTAAACCCAGGGAGATTTATTTCGTTCGGCAATTTAAAACTCACTGTAGCTTTTAGAGAGTTAGTACCTTAGGCTCAATGAATGTTTACCTTTGAGGTGGTCAGAATAGCAGACGGCACTAGAATTGTGCCATCAACTCTAGAATCATTCTTATTCTTTTTGAAGTAGAGGCAACATGATAGAATTGAAAGTATTAATATAATGGACTTGGGGAGTTACAAGACCTGGACTTGAGGGATGTGTGTGTACTGATCTAAGCATCTAACGAATTAAATGTGAAAACACTACATACACTACATAACGTAGTATATCAGAGTGAGAACAAAGAAACAGAGAGAGTTATACGGGTCATGTCAGCAGAGAGAGAAAAATTCAGTCTCTCTTTGGATTGGGAGTAAATGCCACAGGCCAGCTTCAGTGAGACAGATCAATAGCTGAAGGATTGTTCTTCCCACATTCTCTCCTTTTCTCAACTCCTACCCCTGCCTCCACCCCTGCCACTCCCATTCATGTCCTCCTGCCACTCCAGCAAACCCTAGTCACATCTGCCCTTTCAAATCTCAGGTCCTCTCCACATTTAATACACATACTCACAGCTCAACAAAGTAAACCTCCCAGAGGATTTTGATTTTTAAATCTAAAAGAATAAGTTTTTAGAGCAAATTTCAGCTACTGTGGAAGGCAGAGAGGGGAAGTATTTTAGAGGCTGGGAAACCTTTACGTAGGGACCTAGTAGACTTCCCAAAATAGATGACCATCTTCTTGTGGGGCCAGACCAACTTCTAAAATTATACTTTCACTTTAAAGCAGTTTTTCTCATCACCCAAGTGTTCAAAAAAACTCTCTGAGACACTTTGTTGGTATAGATTTTAAATTACAAGCTCGATTTGATATCCTCAAATACAGTCCTTAAGGAAGATTAGTTACAAATAGTTGTCAGGACTTTCAAGTGACAGAAGAAATTACATTTTTGTAAAACTGGATGAATTTTTTATGTGTGAGATAACAATCCTTTCCCCACCAGGTGTAATAACTCCAATTCATGCAATAAATGACTATTACATTTTTCAAAGTTTTCCTAATTTTTCTAGTTGACATTTCATGCCTATTTTAAGTCAAGATATCAATGTGCTCCTGAGCTCACCTCACCCACTGTGGGAAGTGGTGAGGACACACATGGCTCTTCTGAGACACAACTGGGCCCCTGATTAGCAAGGTGTTGTTCTGATTCCTTCATCTCAGTGTGAAGGTCTCCAGGAGGTCTCGGGTTTCAGGAAAAGTGGCCTGGGTTGCCTATAGGCAAATATTACACCAGAGATTATACAGGACTCTGAGAGTGATGTAAAAGAGGTGAACAACAGGGCAATTTTAACTTATTTTGACATAAAATCGGCAGAAATAAGCATCACAAAATTCCTGTAACTAGAAATTGAGGATAAAACAGAAGAGGTTTGCCTATGATGAGGGTGACCCTCATGGTAGACCTCGTGAACAGCTTTATAGAACCACTTAAGATAGTACTGTCAACATTTTACATATTTTACATACAATTTGAATACAAAGTCTTAAAATTTATAGAACATTAAAATAATCTTCTAATAAAATCAGCCTTAAGTATAAGGAATCTAAATCTCAGTATCTTGTACAATTCTAAATAAATATCTTTGATCTATAACTCTTGAAAATATTAGTTTATGGGGACATGATAGAGACAAATCAAATAGTATTACAAGTGAAAATGAAACATCTGTTTAAAAATAAACAAGTCTAAAAACACACTGAACTGAAATATACAAAATCAAAACACTAAATACATAGTAATTAAATATCTAGCCTTGGGATAACCAAATGCATGCTCAGCAACACACTTTCAACTTATATAAAAAGCCCTTTAAAATTCATGTCATCTAAATAAATAAGCAGAAACACAAAGGGAGGTACTGTACCAGCCAGTAACAACTAGAAAGTAATTTCTCCCTTTTTCTTTCAAATGATGCTAAAGAAAAAGATGACATAATAGTTATTTATTAAAAAACTATAATTCATGTTTGCCCTTTTAAAATGCTGCCTGATAAAAAGTCAAAGCAAGGCTTCCTAAATGTTAGACCACTGTACTTTAGATAAGGAAAGGCCACCTAAACAATTGATTTAAACAAAAATTAGACATCTGCCTATTGAAGGTATGATTGAATTTTTGCTTAATGACCCCACAATTGGGTCTAAATCAAGCACATGATATGAATGAATGTTCAAATATATGAATGCATGATCTGTTAATACTCAATTATATATGATGATTTCACTTGCCAAAGTAGTTTGGTTCATTTTATATAAGATCAAATTAAAATATCTATAGCAGGAACTATAACTTATTTATGTTTGTATTCTTATTCTTATATTCTCAGAACATAATAGGTGCTCAGTAAGGGCTGAATTGAGTTGAGTCCAACATTCATCATTTCAGGAAGCATTGAATCCATGACAAAACTGTTGCCGGAGACTCAGGAGGCTCTTTCATTTTGCCTCCAGGCCTGTGATTAATTTTTGGTTGGTTAATCAAGTTAATTGCCACAGATCAGTCACAGTTTCTCATTTCAGGGTCAAGATTTCTATAATTCATCTATTCCACAGTTAAGCCTTCTTCAAAGATTTGTGCCTGCACATCATAGTCAAGTTAAAAGAATAAAAATAATCTTTGTTACTCTATGTTGGATATTTGCTTATCATAACTGCCTGAAACACACATACACACACTCACACCACAACCATTTCAAAAATGGAGAAAGAATCTGGAAATAATGCACAAAGCCTAAATTACATAGCTTCCAAGCTTAACTAAAAAATGACATTGAAACCATTAAAGTAACTCCTTTTGATTATATACAAACATATTGCGTGATGGCTGGAAGCAACGTCTATGGACAAACAAATGTAAACCAAAAGTGTCCTTTAACCACTGGCTTGACAAGGTAGCTAAACATAGTGTAGTTCCAAGACTACCTTGTTTAATTCTGCTCAGCATACCTTATTATACTAGGAGGCAGAGAGGAGGAGACACATAGGCTCTCCAAAGATGATTCTTTCCATCCACAATGCTTGAGATCAGTATTTGCCTCACTAAATGGATTATTCTAACAGAGTTCCTCTGGATAGCCATTTAAAGTTGCGGTTGCTGATGTCCTTGGTTCATAACTGGGGGAAGGGGGGAATGTTACAGAACTCCTGAAATAAAATGTTTAGAAAGTTTCACATCTTTCATTCACACTGCCAGCATGCCTGTCTCTCTTGAATGCTGCTAGGAGAGGTAGATCCAGTGTTTAAGTTCTGCCATTCCCTGCAGCAACTTAGTGTAATAGAAGTCCATGTTGTCTGCAAAGTCTGTACAAACAGGTGACTCCATGTCACCAAAAGTGCAGTATAATGCAGTTCCTCCAACACTAAGGAAAACCGTTGCTATGCACAGCAAGATCAGTAAAATACAGGAGCCACCTCCAACTTCATCTGTAAATATAAGAAAAGAGTGAGGTTAAATTGTCGTCAAAATGGAAATCTTAGCATTTGCTGTCTTCTCACTGATTAAGATAACTAGATGTTTCTAATGTTAGTCCTCCAGGGATAGGACTTATTGACAGAAAACTCATGCTCCTAATAACTCTATGAAGACCTTCCTATTAGTTACCACAAAGATTCATGCTTGTGGGGTTTGTGAATGCTAAAATTAAAACTGGCTCATTTATCTGATAAATAGAATCACTCCCATGAAAAGGAAGAAAGACAGGGCAGTGTCCCTCTGATGTGCTCCCAGCATTATTTTAGAGTATACATTACAACCTCATGATTATAATGCCTTTGGAGTTCCCATCAGGGGACCATTTTAAGGCAAAGTCAACTCGGTATTAAACAATAAAAAAAGTCTTTGGGTGGGATCTCTTTGCATCTTATTAATACTCGCCTTTATTTTTATCACTTAGTGGAACAGTAAAGTTCTAGACTGTACGGTGGTTTCTTTTAATTTTGCTTAACATCTTTGGCAAGTTTGTTTTTAATAGAAAGATCCATATCAATCTTTCTATATTGAAGAAAATAACTACTCTTTGGTTGAAAAATCTTAACAATCATTCATAATTAAAGAAAATAAACATATTTCACAGAAGACTAAAAAAGTTTTATGATCTGCAGCATGATGAAAGTGTATGGAAACCTTTTTGGAAGGTGACTTGGCAGTATCTATTAAAATTTAAAATTAACCTATCCTCTACACTGAATACTTTTGAGAGTGAAAGAAAATGTTAACTGAACTCAGTGCTGGGAAGACAGATGTAAACCAGGACTACCTGAGACCAAATGAGACATGTGGTTCTGACATTTAGCCCAACAAGTCCACCTTTAGGAATTAGCCTACAGATTTGTACAACACACGATCATGTATACAAGCTTGTTCACTGTAGCAGTCTGTTGTAACAAAAGGTTGAGAATTAACCTAGTTATTCCAGTTACAATGAAATAGTTAAATAATCATAGGACATTTATATGATGGAATTCTATGGAATTATTTAACAGAATGGAGTAATTTAATATGTTCTGTCATTAAAAGATATCCAAGATTCATGATTAAATTTTGACTTTAATACTGTCTGAATTTTTTCATGATTAGCATATATTATTTTTATGATAAGAAACAAATTTTATAAGACCTAAGATATACCAAATAGACTTAAATTGGAAGATTTTACAATATTACATCAGTGTATTCTCCCTGTAAAAATTCAAAGTCAAAAGTGTCTTAGTGGCTGGGCGCAGTGCGCCTGTAATCCTAGCACTCTGGAAGGCCGAGGTAGGCAGATTGCTCAAGGTCAGGAGTTCGAAATCTTGCCTGAGCAAGAGCAAGACCCCATCTCTACTATAAATAGAAATAAATTAATTGGCCAACTAATATATATATAGAAAAAATTAGCCGGGCATGGTGGCGCATGCCTGTAGTCCCAGCTACTCGGGAGGCTGAGGCAGGAGGATTGCTTGAGCCCAGGAGTTTGAGGTTGCTGTGAGCCAGGCCGACGCCACGGCACTCACTCTAGCCTGGGCAACAAAGCGAGACTCTGTCTCAAAAAAAAAAAAAAAAAGTGTCTTAGAGTCTAATGACCGTCCCATTTTCTTCTACCTAATCATATTCATCCCTCCTACCCCAGAGATAAACACTTAAATTTGCTGTGTATCCTTCTAGAACTAGCATACATGATTTTAGGACTTTTATACAAATAAGATTATATAATCATTGTTCTGTGATTTATTTTTTATTTTATTTTATTTTTTTTGAGACAGAGTCTCGCTTTTGTTGCCCAGGCTAGAGTGAGTGCCGTGGCATCGGCCTAGCTCACAGCAACCTCAATCTCCTGGGCTCAGGCAATCCTCCTGCCTCAGCCTCCCAAGTAGCTGGGACTACAGGCATGCGCCACCATGCCCGGCTAATTTTTTCTATATATATATTAGTTGGCCAATTAATTTGTTTCTATTTATAGTAGAGACGGGGTCTCGCTCAGGCTCAGGCTGGTCGAACTCCTGACCTCGAGCATCCGCTGCCTTGGCCTCCCAGAGTGCTAGGATTACAGGCGTGAGCCACCGCGCCCGGCCTGTGATTTATATTTTAGAATAGTTTATACCTATATATGAAAAAACATATATATATATATATTTAGAGACAGGGTCTTGCTCTGTCACCCAGGCTGGAGTGCAATGGCATCACCATAGCTCACTGCAGCCTTGAGTGCCTGGGCTAAAGTGATTCTCCCACCATAGTCTCCTGAGTAGCTGGGACTACAGATGTGTGTCACCATACCTAGCTAATTTATTATTATTATTTAGAAATGGTCCAGGTCTAGTTTTTGTCATTAGTAGAAAAAAAAAAGAAAAAAAAGTATAAAATATAAAGAATTAAGACAAATTATTTTTATTAATATTAAAAAAAAAAAGAAATGGGGTCTGGCTATGTTGCCTGGGCTGGTCTTGAACCCCTGGTCTCAAATGATCCTCTCAAATTGTTGGGATTATAGGTGTGAGCCACTGTACCTGGCTGAAAATATGGTTTTTTTTATACAAACAAAGAAATACGGTATCATTCATGCTGTGTTTTCTGTTTTTCGACAGTTTAGTCTTTCCACCTGCTTTTTTTTTTTATTATCCCCTCCTCACCTCCTTATCTATTTAATAACCTAGTTTATGTATCTTTCTGTATTTTGCTTCATTATTACATATTTATATATAAACATTTAAATACAGTTTAAATATTTAAAAACATCTACTTTGTTTGTTTTACCTACATGTGCTGGAACTGTTTAGAGCTGTAGAGTCCAACGTGGAAGCCATGAGCCGCATGTGGCTGTTAGGAACTTAGTCCAAACAGAGAGTGACATGAGTGTAAAATACACACCAAATTTTGAAGACTTTAGTGTGAAAAGAGGGATGTAAAATATGCCTTTAGTAATTTTTCATATAGATCATATGTTGAAATAATATCTTCGATATACTGGGTTAAATAAAATATATTATTAAAATTCATTTCATCTATTTCTTTTTACTTTTTAAATATGGCTACTACAAAATTTAAAATCATAGATGTGTCTCATTATATTAACATTTCTAGTGGATAGCATTGATTTAGAGGAAGAAGATCTAGTGGATAGTGTTGATTTAGAGGAAGGTTTTCACAGAGAGTGAGGTTTATGAAACACCATGGAAGCTCTAGAGCTTAGGAATAAACCAGCACCTCCACCAATCATTTAGATGAAGTTTTATAATTCTCAAAATGAGTTCACACACATTATTCGACACGTTTCTCAGCCTCCATAGGGGCACATAGGCAGATGTTATTCTTATTTTAAAGATGATGAAACAGAGTCTCCCACAAATTAAGTGACTTGGTCTAGGATGCGGTAGCTACCAAATGAAACTGGAACTGTGAGTTCCAAATCCAGGGTTCCTTCTACTAGAGCAATTGATTTGGTGTAAATTACTGCTAGCAGAAATGAGTACTTTATCTGGAGAAGATTTTGAGAGTTACAAGCAAGGTGCATAGGTTAGATGAGGAGTTAGAACAGATTATTTCCAAGGCCCCTAACCAGCTTTATGACTGTAAAAATTTAGAAACCTCTACTTTAATCACTTTTGTCATACTTAGAAAGCATACCTAAATGTTTACACTGTTATTTTACCAATGCAGTTATTCTATAAATTTGAGAAGCATATGGGAGGCCAAGGCCAGCGGACTGCTCGAGGTCAGGAGTTCAAAACCAGCCTGAGCAAGAGCGAGACCCCGTCTCTACTATAAATACAAAGAAATTAATTGGCCAACTAATATATAGAGAAAAAATTAGCCGGGCATGGTGGCGCATGTCTATAGTCTCAGCTACTCGGGAGGCTGAGGCAAAAGGATCGCTTGAGCCTAGGAGTTTGAGGTTGCTGTGAGCTAGGCTGACGGCACAGCACTCACTCTAGCCTGGGCAACAAAGCGAGACTCTATCTCAAAAAAAAAAAAAAAAAAAAGAGAAGCATACTGACAGGTTCTTGGCTATATTTCCACTTCCATGTATTTACCTATGCCTTAGATAAACCTATTTGCAAGGACAAAAGGCAGCACTGTTTGCTACAGTAACTATCTTAGGTATAGGCCCAGAAAGGAAAAAAAAAAAATCAAACAATAGCAACAGTGTTAAATTGTTGCTCTTGAGAGACACTCTTTCTACAGAGTGAAGAAGAAATTACTGAAGAAAATATACTTGTAATTCACATATATTTTCCACCATAAAGGAGGAATATTAACTAGCTACTGAATGGAAGACAAAAGTATCAGGCTCACTGAAAAAGAAGAAGTATTAAAGAAGGAAACTGACTCAAATGAGCTCTTAACATTGAAGACTATCTATGGAATCAGGAGACCACAGTTAAGTTTTGCAACATGCTCACTTGAGTAAACAAAATCTTTAGAAATAATTTAAGATTATAGTTTGATTTTTTGTTTCTCTCAGAAGATAAAGCAACTAAAGAATATATGAGCACGTTACCTTGATCCAAGTTATCGTCTATTTCTTGGAATCTCACTCTTCGCTTAGATGGTTTCTGCTGCATTTGGGCAGGATGATCTCCTACAGTATCATTCCTCTTCTTTAATATAGAGACCAACCCTTCAGCAGGAACAACCTGTCAGAGGTTATAAGAACCATTTATTCTATTAAGGTGGGACACCTCAGTGATATTGTACATGTAACTATAAAAAAGGTTAGCAACAGGTATTTGAATTTATATCATAGAAATTCCTGTAGAAAACCCCCCACAATTAATCATTAAAATCTAATAGAATAAAACTTTCACTTCTATGCAAATGACTGACAAACATGCAAGTCTAGAACCCTGCCTTCTTTTCTTAACCCCTGACTGACTCCAGGGCCAGGCAGTGTGAACAGCGTGCAGCAGAATGGAAATCAGGAGCTTCCCCTGCCTACTTCACTCTGTGGCTTCCTCTCCCTGTTACCTATAAAATGACCACTCAGCCCCTCTTTGCTTAATCATTAGCACTGGGTTTTGCTTTACAAGATATGCTTATAATCCACCATTGTTGTTTTCATTCTTCAGCAATTTTTAAGAAATGAACATGTAACACTTAAAATACACCTGACATCAAACTTTCAACATAAGTGTTGGCCTCAGTTCCTCTGAGAAACTATGCATTGACTAAATAATGTTGTATTGCTCAAAATATTTTATGGACTTTTCTAGAATCTTTCTCAGAACCAGTATACTAGGGACATATTACTTTAGACCAAAGGCCTACTGCCTATTTTTTGTAAATAAAATTTAGTTGGAACACAGACAAGCCCATTCATCTACATGTTGTTCATGGCTGCTTTGGGGCTACAATGGCAGAACTGAGGAGGTTCAATAGATCATAAAGTCTAAAATATCTATAATTTGGCCTTTTATAGAAAAAGTTTGGTGTCTAATACCTCTTCAGACCCCCACTTCTACTCCTTTCTATGTTGCCCTTTAGTTTTCACTTCAACTACCTTTCTCCTATGTCCCACCCCTTACTTAGAAACAAAAACAAAAACCCTTGCCATTTAGGAGCTAAAAGACTCCAAGGTGCAGGGAGAGAGAGCATCAGTTGGAAGAGCCAGGCTGGGAAGCAGGAGGCCTTACTAAGGGCCCCCAAGTAGTAGGGTCAGTCACAGAAGTTTACCTTGTGAGCTACCTGCTTGCTACAAGCTGTAGGTGATGACATAGGTGGGCATTGTGGGCCTAACACTGTGGATGTCAGTCAGTGACTTATTGGTATGATCACTGTAAGCTGAGTACTGCCTGTAATGTCATTTATCTCATCAATAGCATAAAATACTTAATATGATTTCCAGTTCCAGCCAGCAATCTCTGATAATGTGCTATGCATAAATATTATAGATTCTATTAGTTATTTTTATAACTCAAGGCTTTTAGGGACAAATAACTCAAGATGGCCTTCTGTTGGGCTTCCCTGAACATGGCTCTATAGAAACCATTATCTCAAAAAAAAAAAAAAAAATCAATAAGCCAGCAATTTATTCTTTTTATAGGAATATGGATTTCAGATGTCTTTTGTCCTTGTTCTTAGAAAACTAAAGTACTTTAGTGGCACTAAAATGTATGTAAAGGAATAGTCTTCCAAATCTTTCTTTAGAAAACAACATTATCATTCAAGAGCCCCTGCATACAACAAAGGAAAATGATTTTACAAGCACCTTGATGAAATGAAGAGGGAAAGAAGTCCTAATAAGAATGTAAAGATAGGCCAGGCATGGTGGCTCACGCCTGTAATCCTAGCACGCTGGGAGGCCGAGGCGGGCAGATTGCTCGAGGTCAGGAGTTCGAAACCAGCCTGAGCAAGAGCGAAACCCCGTCTCCACTATAAATAGAAAGAAAATTAATTGGCTAACTAATATATATAGAAAAAATTAGCCAGGCATGGTGGCGCATGTAGTCCCAGCTACTAGGGAGGCTGAGGCAGAAGGATTGCTTGAGCCCAGGAGTTTGAGGTTGCTGTGAGCTAGGCTGACGCCACAGCACTCACTCTAGCCTGGGCATCAAAGCGAGACTCTGTCTGAAAAAAAAAAAAAAAGAAAAAAGAGAACAGCTCTAAAGATGAGACCCAGAGGGGCAATACTGTTTATTGTGTATTATATCTTTGTGATATAAACTTTGAATTTGTAAATTCAAGAAAGAGATATAAACCATAAATCAAAAGATACTGCAGATTAAATAACTTGATTTATTGACAGACTGACAGAAGCTCCTGAAGTCATCTGAAAAGGCATAGAATGTGCCACTTGGACCAAGAGCTGGTCCTAGTGCTGCAGCTGTTAGGTGCCCACCTTAGCTCCTCCTCAGCCAAGTCTGCAGTGACGTCTGGCTCTGTAAGTCATGCTGTTAAGGGATACAAGCCTTATTGGGTGGCCCCACCTCATTTACTGTGGGTGGCAATGAACTTTGGAAACTTTTTCAAAATCTTTCCAAAGAGGGAAGAAGCAGAGTATGCAAACTTACAGTTGCGTCGGATGGGCTTTTTGTTTTGATACCCCTCCCCCACAATCCATTAATTCTTGGCTAAAAATTTAACCACATCCTTTTTCTCTTCCACCAAAAACATGCTGTTTCAGAAGGACCTGCTCCAGCATCTGAAGTGAAGGAATGTGCTGTTTTCCATTACATCACTCCAGTCTTGCTCAGGAATCTTCTCTAGGTCTTTCTGTTGTAACTGCCTCTGGTCCTATAGCCTATAGGTAGAGAATAAGGGATGGCGGGACCAAGTGTAGGCATAGGAGATGTAGGCCAAGGGGAATTCTTAGAAGATAGGTGGTGTGGCAAATAGAATTTATTCTTTGTGTTTTTGTAAGAGTTTTGGGTACAGGTCTTAGACCAACCTCTAAACAGAATTCCTACTTACTACATCAGGGAGTCAAACATAAAGAGCTTTCGAGAAACAACTTTGGTGGAGTTTGCCTTAATTCCATGACTGAAGGGCAAGTAAGACAACAAGTCATGGTCTTGGTGTGGGGTCTCACTCAAAAGACTGTCAAGTGGGCTGGGCACGGTGGCTCACACCTGTAATCCTAGCATTCTGGGAGGCCGAGGCGGGCGGATCGCTCAAGGTCAGGAGTTCAAAACCAGCCTGAGCAAGAGTCAGACCCCGTCTCTACTAAAATAAATAGAAAGAAATTAATTGGCCAACTGAAAAAAAAAAATATATATATAAATTAGCTGGGCATGGTGGCGCATGCCTGTAGTCCCAGCTACTTGGGAGGCTGACACAGGAGGACTGCTTGAGCCCAGGAGTTTGAGGTTGCTGTGACCTAGCATGACACCACAGCACTCTAGCTAGGGCAACAGAGTGAGACTCTGTCTCAAAAAAAAAAAAAAAAGAAAAAGAAAAGAAAAAGATTGTCAAGTGTTTCTAAATAGATTGGGTTGTTGATGTAGGGCACACAGCAGTATGTTTCCTCCAAACTATTCTTAAAAACATGTCTTTTTTTTTCTTTACCATAATATCAGTACTAAAAGATGAAAAAGATTTAAATTCCAAAAAATAAAGCATTATAAAAGAGATAAAAAAATAAAGCTTTAAAACTCAATTGAGTTTCCCACCTCAATTACCAAATTCTTTTCCTATCCAAACAAAATATATCAAGCCCTTTCATTGAGAACAAAAAGAATGTCTGAGCTATCATTAATGTAATTGTTAATTGGTACTCTTTAAATAAACACAGAATTTTTTAAAAAGTCCATCTGGGCTGGGTGCGGTGGCTCACACCTGTAATCCTAGCACTCTGGGAGGCCAAAGCGGGTGATTGCTCGAGGTCAGGAGTTCGAAACCAGCCTGAGCAAGAGTGAGACCCCGTCTCTACTATAAATAGAAAGAAATGAATTGGCCAACCAATATATATAGAAAACATTAGCCAGGCATGGTGGCGCATGCCTGTAGTCCCAGCTACTCAGGAGGCTGAGGCAGGAGGATCGCTTGAGGCCAGGAGTTTGAGCCTGCTGTGAGCTAGGCTGACGCCACGGCACTCACTTTAGCCTGGGCAACAAAGTGAGACTCTGTCTCAAAAAAAAAAAAAAAGTCCATCTGACCTAGTCTTCTATATTTGCAAAGAGATAGTTCTTCCTGCACTTCCCCTCAAACATCAGTGACCATCTTAAATAGCATTTTCAGAATGAACTCGTTGTAAAAACAAAATTATTTTGTAACTGGAATAGTAAATGCAAATGTGACAAGGGAAACATTCAGAGAGACAGTGCTGTTAGATTCTCAAAGTTAGTAAATTTTGAATAAGGAACACATGCTTGGTTTCCAACTAACTGGTGAATTAACATTCGCAAATCATATGACTATATCATAAACACCTTATATGCCTGTGATTTCCCCATAGAAGCACATGTTAAATTTATCACTGCTATTCTCACTCAAAAAACAAATGATGTTCTCTGTCTACTCCTTTAGATTTGGGTTCCATAATAAGAACTATTATTTAGTGAATGTGTATACTTTATGTAAAGACATTTACAAAACATGTCATTTAATCTTCACAAGGCATTATCAGCCCCATTTTATAGGTGAAGAAGCCAAGCTTAGAGAGTTTGAGTAACTTGCTTAAGCTTGCAGTGTCAATAACTGACAGTTTGAATACAAACTCAAGATTAAAGCTCTTGCTATTTCCTTAATGTGAAAAGATCTTACTAAATGTTTTCCTCAACTATTAAAATTTTGTTCCCTGACATATAATATATATAATAATTACAGTGAGATAAACAGAATTTGCAAATAAAATGAACAAATTTCTTTTGTCTTTCCAAAGTAGTTTACATCGCTAGCAAAAATTCTTATTCTACATATCACCCCAATTAAGAGATACACTAATGGCTAAATTTCTCAATCTAGAAACATGGGGTAAGGGGTGGTTGGATAAAAGATCTTTTGTGTCATGTGATTAATCTAGAAATAGATTAAGTAATGGCTACTACTATAGAAAATTGATAGAACAAGCCACTTCTGGAGCAAGAGGTGCCAGTTATAGGAAAGCAAGCCATCTTCCAGAAAGAACATGACGGTCATCGCAGACCCCAAACACAGCATCTCAGAATACTGAGATACAGAGAGAACGTAAAATATGAAA